GCCCCCTGCTCTTTGTGCCATACACAAGAAAAGGTTGTTAGTTCACACACTGCTGATTATTTGCTTAATACCTCAATTAGATCTTTATGACCTCAGTACAACTTATTTACCTATCTAGTGCCTGTCTTTTACAACTACTGCTATCAGTAAATCTGTCTGACTTTTATTGCTCTCCTGGAAAGCATTTGTACCTTAGATCAATCTGTTTTCCCTCAGCCGTGAGTGACCAGGAGAGAGAAAAAAAGTGGAGGATACATGCAGCAATTTGTAGTGTTCTAACGTAAGTGTAATAAAAAAAAAAAATGTTAAAGTAGAATGGAAAAAAAGCAAAAATAACAAATACGAGTTCCCCCTGTAACATTGTTTTACCTGTTAATCATGCTAGTTGATCCATTATTTTTCCACTTCCTGCAACAGGCTGACAACGAAATTACTGCAGGGTTGTCACCCTGTGGAAGGGGTAGTTCTAGATGTGGTTTTTAATGGCCTTTAAAGTGTATTTCCACTTTTGTAGCCAAAATTGAGATAACCCCCCCACTATATGTTTGTTATGTGTTGCTATTCACACAACATATTTCTCATCTTTTAAACGTGTTTGAGTTGCAGGCATTTGCAAACTTCTCTCTCAATTTCAGTAATAGGAAATGCTGACAGATCTCATAGATAGACTTAGGACAGACTGAGCTTCCCCTCATTAACATACAATGTCCTCAGGTCCTTTAACACTTTATTAGGACAGATAGTCCTGCTTAGACATGTGCGATTTGTTTTGTTCTGAATCAAAATTTGGACAAATTTTCCGAAATTCGAACACATCCTAATTTCCGAATCTCAATGCACCCGAATGTGTCTGAATCCGAGTTTCCGTTTCCGAATTTCGTTCAAAAATGAAACTGAATTGGACATGTGACTTTTCTGGCCAATCAGATGCATCCGAATGGGTCTGAACACAAATTTTCGTTACGGCAACACGGGAGCCATATACAGTATATACAATACTAAAGCTGAGGCTCCCAGACCCGAATGGCATTCTGGATCTGAATTTCTGAATTGCATTCGGGAGCTCCCAAATGCCATTCGGGTCTGGGAGCCTCAGCTTTAGTAAAATATGTATATACTGTATATGGCTCCTAGACCCAAAGGCATTCGGGAGCCCCCAAATGCAATTCGGAAATCTAGATCCGGAATGCCATTCAGGTCTAGGAGATTCAGCTTTAGTAACCACCACAAAAATGAAAGCCTATAAACCCAAAACCTGTTGTTGTATTAGTATTAACACTTTCCACATTTTTCGGGGTACAAGACAAGGTTTGTGTTTGCTACAGACCCGCTAGTTAAGCTCAGACCCCAGCGAGTGGGGTCTTCTATCAATGGCCGAGAGGGGAAGGTTTCACTTTATGCAGATGACATGTTGATCTATCTTTTAGACCCCCTCACCCCAGAAGTCTCTAGAATGATTACCATATTCAATACAGGAATTTGGACATTTTTATGGCTTCTGTCTAAAGTAGAAGAAGTCTACCATTTTTCCACTGGACCTGGGTACGGTGCCTCAGATCCCCGTCTCTTGTCCATTGAAGGTGATGATACACATACAGCAACCTTTCCAATAATACAATTCGAATAACCTTGACTTCCTAATAATTAAACTTTAAGTTTGTCTCTAATCTGCCTTTGAATATATGGATATATACACACAAACACCGACACAGACACACACACCATATAGTCCCTTTAGCTTTTGCTTAGCTAGCAGGATTCAGTAATGACTAACAGTCATTCAAAAACTGGATTGATGATGTAATTCCTCTGAAAGAGTGATTACTAGAGTTCTCCTATAAGGATCTCTGTGGAAGTCTAGCCTGAAATCAGAGTGATTCCGCCTCTGTATAATGAAATTCCTCCTCCTACTCTTGCAGTTATAGCTCTGCTGATCTCAGGCACACATTGACAGCTGCCGATATAACAGCGAGGTTTCAGATACGTTAATTATGCAATAATTACCCATGTTTGTCAGTTGCTTGCTAGCCCTTTGGAGACTGACATGTAAACTAAAGGAAGTCCATAACTGTTTTGGGATTCCACACCGATTGTGGCTGCATGTCTGTATCTAATAATGCAAAGCTCTCTGGGAAGCTAGATTGGATGAAAGCCACTTTATAAATTCATGTTATATTTAGAACCAGCTATGCAGCTGTGGTCTGCTGTTACCTAATGAGACAAAAAGAGTCCTTTAATATCCCATCTTTCTTTATTAAAGAAATGATTGCATGGCCTGTAATGCCCCAAGGCAGCATTCCACTTGTGTAGAGTGTGCATGCGAGCAGCCCTACAATTATTTCAAGTTCATAACTTTCAGTGCCTCATTAAAAAGGGAAACCTAGCTGGGGGTTTCTGTGTTAAGGGAAGCATTAAATCTTCACAGTGTTTTTACTGTTCAGAAGCTACCTGCAGAATGGCACAGCTTCAGCCTTCTGTTATTCTACACAACGAGTCAAATAAATACACTGAAATGTAGGAAGCCGCAGTACTTTTATGCTATCTGTAAAAGTTCCTGATGTATGGTTTTTGCATTGTAATGTCAGTTTAGTTCAATGCAAATCTGTCTGCCTTTTCAAAGTTTTAAATTCTGTCTGAGAGCAGAGAGAACAATGTTTCAGCTGTTACCTTTACTAAAGAGACACTGTCTCAGGGCAAATTACACTGTTTTCCGATTGTCCAGCCCTCCCAGCAAGGTATTCTCACCCATCTGTGCTCCCCCATAAGGTATTCTCACCCATCTGTGCTCTCTCGTTGTCTACCTGCCTCATCGGAGCCCCTGCTCAGTTTCTCTATCAGAGTGGGGCTTCCGGTTATAGTATTTTTATTATTATTATACAGGATTTATATAGTGCCAACAATTTGCGCAGCGCTTTACAAAATGGAGGAGACAGTACAGTTACAATACAATACAATTTCAGTACAATAGGGTTAGGAGGGCCCTGCTCGCGAAAGCTTACAATCTAGTAGGAGGGGCAAGTGATACAAAAGGTAATAATAGTAATAACATGTGGCCTCCCCCATGTGACAGTCCTCAGGCCTAAGTCTCCAATCACCATACAGAACACTATCACAATGTGGGGCTGTGACGTCATTCACCTGGAAAGGCCCAACATGGAGCTTATCCAGGGTGGAGTCTTGAAACATGTAGGTGGTAAGGGGGTTCTAGACTGGTAAGGGAATTGGGCTTCTGTTGACAGCATCAATTTGACATCATTTTGCAATGCTTCTGAGATCATTCTGAATTCATTGACAGGTGCATTTGACCTGAAGGTGACCTCCTTCTGACCTGCTTCAAGTGGGTTTTGTATTTCATAGACTGCTTGAAGCGAACAAAAACCCATCAACATAAGGCCCTAAGTATACTTTGCTGGGAGAGAGAAAAGGAAGTGAGGGGCTACCATGAGGCACTATTATTTTGTCCTGAATAGGCAAGTGGCTGGGTCTTTAAACCCAGTAGTGAGATAAATATGGAAGCCTCAATACCGTCTAAAGAAGTGACTGGGAACAAGCTTGTACCTAGTGGAATCAGAGCTCCTGATCTGCATACACGTTTAGAGTCAGTGATACATATATTTTATTGCACTGTACAAGAGCCAGTCAAAATGAGAGTTCAGCAATGGCTAGGTGTTTTTTTACTCCAGGTTTTCTGTAGACTGAAAACAGTATTATTTGCATCCAGATAACCCCAGGAAGCAGCAGCATTTGGGGCATGACTATTGGACAGTGGGACGCTGATGAGAGCAATGGTGCTTCACTTCGACAGTAGGGCCTAATATGGTGTTAAAAATACACTTCAAGGAGATTGAGGAACTCATCCATACATCCAGAGACACGCTGGATAAATTTACCACAACCTGGGCATGCTGGTTGCATTTCAAAACGACGCCTGGGCACACGACACACCATCAACACTCCAAATAAGATTTCCTGTGGACTGCATAGACTTATTGGGGATTCTACATAACCTGTCTTGACTGGGTTTTGCTCTTGACCTCGACCTTCATACAGGATTTGGGGTGTGATCACCCCTGCTTGGACGGGAGGGGGGTTCTTTAATTGGGTGGGGAGGTCCGGTAGGATCCCACCCCTTTCCTTTCCCCATTCCTAGGGGGAAAGGAGAGGAGCATAAACGTCAAGATGGTGAGAATCCCCCCCTTTTTCTCTTTCTTTCCTCTCCCCGTCTCCCTCCTTTCCCCTTCTCGTATATTTGTGAGGTATGTGAGTGTTGTCAGTGTCTGTTCTTGTGTTAGTCATTCCGGGTGGATTTTCTGGCAGTGGGAGTGTCCGGCTATCTGCCCAGCCTGATATCCTTCTAGCTTATACATTTTTGATTTTAACATACTTTATCTATACCTCCTATCTGTCTTCCCTCTGAAGCCAATGTCTGAGTACGTGGACTCCAAGCCGAGCTCTCATTTCCTATTTATGTCTGATAACCCCTTACAGCTAAGCGAGTTCCATAAGTAATAGTTCAATCAAGCTCTGATGTTGCCTAAAGATGATTCTCTCATTTGGAGGTTCTATTTGTTTTTTTTCTTTTCTCCCCTGTCGTCGTGTATTGTCCCGATTTTGTATGTTTTTGTACAATGATAATCTGAGCTGCACTGTTTTCTGTATGTTATAAAACTGTAATACTGTTATAAAACTGTAATTATGGAACAAAAAAAATACAATTCAATAGCAGACATGGCCCTTTAATTGACATCAGTGTGTATATTATATGTAAAACAGTCTACTTCATCTATGTGGGGCAGACAAGAAGAATAATGAGCACTACGGGCATGTCAATACACTTATGGTGCTAGAGCAGTAAGCAGTTGGCACAGGCTACACATTCTTGGAAGCGGTAATCCTTCCAGGTACATTCTGGCTCTCCTGTTTTATGCATTGTCCTGGGAATTCTCAGCTGGTGGGGCAGCCAATACATAGACAACATAGTTCACTGTACTATATCTTACCTTACTGAACTGGCCAACCACATGTTTCAGGATGTTTGGTGGAGCATCATGGAGGAGAGGCTCAAGGGCTGGAAGATGGGTGCATTTTTGAAGGATGCTTTTTAAGGCTTTTTTTGCCTGTAAAGAAAAAAGTTAAAGCTAAAGGACAGTTTGTTGAAATATTTGCTGTGCATGAGGTCCTAAATTGACCCTGTCATGATTGAAGAACTGGGGCTTGCCAGGCTGTGTATATACCACCAATACTTTGTGAGTTACAAACCCAGAACAAGCTTGTTTTAAATGAGCGTCAGAAATTATTTTCTCAATACTTGTTCCAGGTCAGTGACTCAGGAAGTAATGAAGACAATGCATCAGCATGACAACCAGACAACCACCATTTTCAGAAGAAACTGTTATTTTTTGTAAAACGGTGCCACCTTATTCTGTCCTTATTCTTTACATCATCATACACAGTAAGCAGAAACAAGGATATAATATACAGGAACCAAGGGGTGGGACAGTTCTGCTCAATACAGCCTGCAGTCTAATAGGAACAGAGAATATAATAAAATACATATGAAATCTTCAAAAGGCATTTTCTGTACTTTCAGGGTCTGTAAAGAGATAAAGTAAAATACACATGCGTTGTGTAGATCTACTGCATGTGTTTTGTTTAGTTTGCCTTGACATACGCTTTAAACAAACCCTCTGTGGAACTGGCACCCTTCTTGAATGGCACTATGGTCTCTTTACAGGAAATAAATAGATATAAGCAGTCAGCGCTCAGTCTCTGTTCACACCTAGGCGTATCGAATATGCGCGTTTGTCGCGCGTTTCGTAAAGCACGTTTATACCGCGATTCGCGGTAAAAACCGCACGACAAACGCGCGTTTCCAAGGGCTACTTGGCTGTATCCCAATGGAAACGTGCAACAAAAACGCCGCAAAGAAGCTCATGTACCTTTTCAGGCGTAGGCCGTTTTGTAGCGCGTTCAGACTGGCTGAAATACGACAAGGTGTGAACCATACCCATAGAAAACAATGGGATTTTCATGTTTGAGAGTTTTGTAGAGCGTTCATAGAGCGTTGAACGCGCTACAAAACGTACAGGTGTGAACCAGGCCTTAAGGTCTCTGCTATATTAGCCTGTGCCTCTGGGTATCTTGAAAGAAATAAAGAAGCTTCCATCTTATTTTTTAGGTAGTTGCAAGTTCCCTGGCTGTCTTGCCCATCCTAAGGATCCGTTCACACATTAGCGGTTTTCTGTGTGTATTCGTATGCGCAGAAACGTGCTAAACATAAAGAATAACACATTCCAATGTATGTTGTTTACACTTGGGCGAATTCCCTGTGGTACAAAAACGAGCGTTGTGCAAAAAAGTTCAAATTCGATATTCTGGGTGTATTCCGTGCTTTCCGCCTACAGTAATAGACGCAAACGTGCGGAATCCACATATGTTAAAATTTGAGTGTTTTCATGCAGTATGGTTTTTCCGCGCAGAAAACGCAAAAGCTATGTGTAAATGGAGCCTTAAGCTTCACTACTTGATGACTCATGCAGGTTTAGACCTTTAATTTCACTGCTTCCAAAGATGTTTTGCCTCAGAACTAGTAAAGCAAGTGGATAAGCATGACAGCCAGGAAAATGGCAACATAAAAAATCAGCAATGGCTACTTCCATGGGTTTACTTCTATAAAGGTTTGAGAAGTTAGTGAACTCCATGTACAAGGGCTCACTTCCCACACTTAGGCTGGGTTCACACCTAGGCGTATCGAATATGCGCGTTTGTCGAGCGTTTCTACCACGATTCGCGGTTTTAAAAAACCGCGCGACAAACGCACGTTTCCGAGGGCTACCTGGCTGTATCCCAATGGATACGCGCGACAAATACGCCCCAAAGAAGCTCCTGTACTTCTTTGGGCGTAGGGCGTTTTGTAGCGCGTTCATACGGCCTGTAATACGCCCAGGTGTGAACCATACCCATAGGAAATAATGGGATTTTGGTGTTTAACTGTTTTGCAGAGCGTAGGAACGCGCTACAAAACTCCCAGGTGTGAACCAGGCCTTACCTACGTTCTACAGCTTCACATAACTCTGATTAAGAATTCATGGCCATACCTACAGTTATATCTGGAAGATAAAAACCGAGCAAGGATCTTATGTAATTCTTTGACACAGTAATTAAAGGCTGCATGATGGAAAGCGGTAATTGTGGTGGTTGAATGTGTGTTTGTTGAGCTCTAAGAGAAAATAGCGTGCTGGGTTTTTGTTTTTACGCTTGTCCTCCACCCACTTTTGGGGTGGACTCTTCTGTCATCCAACGCATATCCTGAGCTTCACTGGGATCTGTAATCCCTCAAGAACGTAACACCTCATGGGCCGGGGTAGGAGAGCACCTTCACTGATGGTTAATATTTTAATACACATCTTTATAGGCAGTGGTAGACAAATTACTATGTATTACCCATACACCTTACGATTATCGGATGAAACTTTATGGCAGCCCCATCCTGCCACGATGATCGCAAGATTAATTTAGCTATAATGAACGAAAAGCACCTGGACGAAATGCGGTAATTGATTTGCCGTATTTTCATTAGCGCAAGCACAGTGTAGATCGTATGACTTTTGACGGACGGAAACGCCAGCAACCGTACGAAAATCGTACGATCTAGCAAAGTTTTCAAACATGCTTGATCGTCAAAAGTCGTACGATTGTACAGTAATGTCGGTCGGACACTGCAATGCACACATACGATTATCAGACGAAAAGTCGATCGCATATGAAAATCGTCCGATAATCGTAAGGTGTATGGGCACCTTTAGACTGATACCCTCAAACTCTACCCAGAATTATAGCCTCACCAACCCCCTGGAGGATTAAGAATGTGAAGGATTCACCATCCAACCAGACTATGGAAAATGTGTTCCTTAGAGCTGTAGCCTGTGCCCATTTAACTCCTTTAAACAGCAGTGAGAACTGTAGTGAGAATGTTGATTAACTTTGCAGAAAATAACTAGGAATGTGCAACATTAAACTTATTAAATTTAATAAGAGTTATTGTCAAGCTAAAAGATACATACCAGCACTGCTTAATTGGTGTGGGCACCTAAGCTTCAAAAACCTCAGTCACAAAAAAGTTACTAAACTAAGAAAAACGTTTTCCACAATCCAATTGTGCAGTGAATACTTTATATTGTTGCTACTTATTTGCAGGCAAGACCACCACTGGCTGTGGTGGTGGGGACAATCTCCCCAATGGACTTATGGATAGGAGTCCCAATAGAGGAACCAAAACTGTTGACCCCATCAAAAATACATAGATAAAAAAATAAGAGCTTTGCTTTATTGTATTTGCTGACCTCTAGCTAACAGGTTAGTCTGATTTCACAATGATCAGTAAATGTATGTCATACATTGCCCCCTGACACCATAATGGAGAAAATCTAACCGCTTTATGGTTTTAAAAAATCTTTTAAATGTTTGTATTTAAACGTTGGATATCCACTTTCAAATGCTTTCTAAATCATGGTAAATAAATCCCAGCTGCTTATGTGGTAGAAGCCTGCAAGCAGCTTGCCAAGGAGAGGGAAGGAGGGGGTACAGAAAGGTTGATTTTAAAAGATTTTACAGCGTCTCTGCGTGTCTGAACAGGGCAGAGACAGTGCGCTGGACACAAAATATGAACATAGTTCCAGCCTATCTGCACTCAGATTTTTCTCATCATAGGCAGATCGACTGCCTTCCTAAAGGATAACTTTAGGTGACAAGTCAGTCAGTGAGCAGGGGACACAGCTGTGCCTAAAAGTGAACTTCAGGCATGGGTAATATTTTCTACTTGCCCTTTAGCAGTAGGTATCATAAGGGTCACCTCTTTATGTTTTACATTTCTCATACATTCCTCATATTCTCTGAAAGAAGTACTATTCCCACTGCTGGTTCCAGCAAGCTTGCTGACTGGTATTTGCAGAAGGACTCTAATGGCTATCCACACTGGTCACTTCCTGCTCCCTTGTATAACATCAGTAAGGGGGTTACAATGGGCTGTGGATGGAGAGGTAGTTACCCCCCAGTAACACCCCTCTGGCAGGATTATTGTTCCAGAGGCAGCTGCCTTTTTGACTTCCCCTGAGTTCCCCTGAGCCAAGTTTTGAGACATTGAGCATTTGAGGTGAGCCAGCTGGAGCTGACAGCACTACTTAGTGTGCATTTAGTGTGCATTTATCTGCTGCAGTTGGTCAATTTACCCACACAGTCCTATGCCTATGAACAATGTAAATTAATTTGGTGGCATCACTACACTATCACTACCCAAATGCTGGCCCACGTGATAGCCCACAACTGCAAACTCATCTGCTGTTATGAACAGATCATACTGGGATATGTACTCAAAAGACTGAAGCAATATTACAGACCTGTATGGCATACACATAGAGACCCTTCCTCTCAGATTGGAACAACTCCTCTTTTCAAATAGCTGCAAAGCATTATGGTTCTCATAGGAAAGGCGTTTGTACTGATTTCACAGTATTTAACATGATTTCTCAGATATACAGGTTTATTACTATTAAAAGGGAAATGTATTTGTGTGTGACTCTCAGCTTTAAAGCACATTTACACCTTTGCAGAGGTATTTATAAAAAACATATGCCACCAATGTACACCGAGTGACAATGAAGCAGCCATATACAGTTGCAGTGTATGAACGCAGAAACTTAAAGGGTTTCTAAACCCTCCGTTTTTGCATATATCTACTGCTAGCAAGTAATAGATAAATGCAAAAAGTTTTTTTTAAACGCTTTACAAGCGGTTTAAACTTACCACTGTCTTTGCCACGTGCTTCCGTCCAAAAATCCGAAACTGCTCAGGCGGCCGCAAAGCATCTTGGGGCTGACGCATGCGCCGTGCGGATTTTTGGCCGGGAGACGAGGAGAGGCGCAAGGTAAGTCTATGGGCACCGTGGGACAAGTGCCAGCAAGCTCAGAGGAGTCAGCGCTGAATCGGAGAGCCGCAGCAGCGCTGGAGAGGAGGCTGAAAAGGACAGGAAAGAAGAGGAAGAACGGATTAACAGACATCATTTTTTTTTTTCCAATCAGGTTTTATTAGTTTTGTTTTTTTTGGAGACAGTTTGCCGGCC